AGCGGGTTGTGTCCACAGACTTGCTCTTCCACTGGAAAGGAACCATTGATTCAATCCCAGTTTCACTGATCCACACCAGTTTCATAGGTGGGACGCTGAAATGTAAAGACGAGAGAGCTTGTGTTTTCATTTGGATTGTCCCGAGAACAAGGGCTTGGCTGTGCGTAGATTATTTGTGACCCTAAGAGCAGGGCAGGAAGAGAAGCCTAGACATGATTTATTGAACTTTTCAGCCCAGCCCAGTGGGTTCATCCATCGGGAAGCACAGATGTTTCCAAGAACTGTCCAAATGCAGAAGGGGGAGCCTGAGCAGACAGCACCCCCAAGGGAATGCCCAGGTTCTGTTTGGTTCTGAGGCCAGAGACACGCTGCAGAGATGTGACCTGGGACACCAAGGTGTCTGCATAGGTGTCCAGGCATTTGACAGCCCCCCCGGGTGACACCTGAGACAGATGCTGCCCCAACCTGTGTCCTCGCCCTGGGGACTCAGGCTCAAGTCCCCAGCGCTCGGGCCTCCCTGCCAGCCCACACGCTCACTCACCCTCCTCTCCCATTTATAACGACACCCAGTTTTGCTGCCTTGACCTCTATCCCATAGCTGCATGTTCTCGAAATTCTCCCCCACAGCCATCTGTGGTCAATCAACAAAAGATAGACCTGTTTGTTTAGTACAACTGCAGAGCTGAGATAATTGGCATTCGCCTGGTGGCTCACACCACGGGGTGGTGGCCTGGGGCCGGGGCATACCCAGCGGCTCAGACCAGCGGCTCAGACGGGAGCACACTGGTCTCACTGCCATGGTTGGGAGCCGGCAGCGCCGGGCAAACACGCGGTCTGAACTGGCAGGTGACAGCTGGAATGTTTGTTGTTATTAATCAGGAGACATTTTTTTAAGTACGTTTTTGAGCTACAGACTAACTCAGGTGATAGTCTGTGTAATAGTTACAACCTACCGAGGCAGGTGCTTCCTCCTGTATTAGCAAAGTGTGCGGTACCGTGACAGTTAGTGGATTGGTGCCATCTGTTATTATCAACTGTCCCCATTGTTTGCGTTCATTTTAGTCCTTGTGTTAGACTATCCCGAGGGTTTCAACAGATACCCAGGGGCCTTTTTATCAGGAGGGAGCAGGGTCTGGCATGAGTCGTGGCATGCTTCATCAAAGCAGCACAATTTAACTCAGTTTCCCTTCTTGGGGTTTCTGCATCAAGATTCCAGGCTGCTCTTCTAGAAACTGGTTGGGGAAAAGAAACTTCTCTTTGATGAAAGACAGGAAATCAGCTGAGGGTTTGACTCTCTCAAGTAGCCTCTTATTTAAAATTTTAAAATAAACAGCCTCTAAATTTAATGGCCATGGTTCCTGGCGGCGGGGTGAGGGGGTTTCTGGAGCAGTCTCTAACATAGAAGCAGCCAGCCTCCCAGCGGCGTGTGCTAAGCCCTTGTTGCCAGGGTGTCCAGACTAGTACGAGTGAGTCCATAACTCTGTCCCCACAGTTCTGGGGAGGAATATCACGCTGCAGCACTGCCCATCGGAGGCCTCAGCTATGTCCAGGGCCACACCAATTTGCAACTAGTCAACAAGACCGTGGGGCAGTGCCTGGAGGCCACAGCACAGAGGTTCCCGCACCGAGAGGCCTTAATCGTCTCCCATGAAAATGTCAGGTTGACTTTCTCTCAGCTCTTGGAGGAGGTAGGTCCTGATCATGAATCCTCAGAGTGAACTGGTGCTTGCTCCCAGGCAGAGTGGGCAGAGCCTTAAGGTGGCACCTGGCTTTGGGGGCAGGGTGTGGGGCTGCGGAGACCCCCAGGGTGTCAGGAGAAGGGGTAGGCTGAGGCAGAGGCGGCCTGGATGCTGTCTGCGTCAGTTGCTACTGGGCGCTGGTTATGATGTATAGTTCCGGGCCACTGCAGAGGTGCCAAGGCCTGGGAATCTGTCTGTGCCCTCTTCCCAGGCGGTGTTGATGTGAACCCCTGGGCCAAAGGCCGAGGTGGGAGTCTCGGGTCCCTTGCTACTGTGCCTGCATCTGCCCCGTCTGTCCTGTCTGTTTACACCAGGTGAACAAAACTGCTTCTGGACTCTTGAGTATCGGCCTCCGAAAGGGTGACCGGCTGGGCATGTGGGGCCCCAACTCCTACGCGTGGGTGCTCATACAGTTGGCCACGGCCAAGGCGGGCATCATTCTGGTGAGGACGGGCAGACTGGCACAGCTGGGGTGGGGGGCCTCATTCAGGGAGAACCCCCAGGCTGTTGGCCCCAGAACCAAACCAATGCTAGGCTGGTTTCAGACCAGGTAGTGCTTTCTCCTGAAGTCCACCCGGGAGGCCCTGGGGTACAGGCACTGCCTCTATCTACACAGTGTGTCTGAACCCCGAGAGGGTGGCGGCACAGTGAGGGAGACGGGCTGCAGAGGACACTGGTGCCCTCCTGCTCTCTCCTGCAGGTGTCTGTGAACCCAGCCTACCAGGCCATTGAGCTCGAGTATGCGCTCAGGAAGGTAGGTCCCACCCCGGGAGGGGCGCCTGATCAGTGCCTGGCACAGGGGGCTTCCGATGGTCACAGAGGGCTGAGGGCGTGGGGAGGCCGTGCACGGGTGGGTGACACCAGTGTGTCTGGGGGCTGTGTGTGGGAGGACAGGGCACACCAGCTGGAGCGTGTGGTCAGGGTGACACGCCTCTGTCAGGGGTTGGGGGGGGCTTTGTAGTGTGTGTATGTTTGTGTTTATAGGGGGTAGTGTGCGTGAGCTGGTGTGTGTGTGAGTTGAGGTGTGTAAGTTGGGGTGTATGTCTAGGGATGGTGTGTCCGTATCAGGGTAGTGGTGATATGTATGAGAAAAAGCCCTCAGTGACCAGTCTGGGGCTTCCTGCTAACTGGGAGTGGGGTCTGCTTCCACAGGTGGGCTGCAAAGCCCTCGTGTTCCCCAAGCAGTTCAAGACTCAGCAGTACTACGAAATCCTGAAGCAGATCTGTCCAGAGCTGGAGACATCCCAGCCTGGTGCCTTGAAGAGTCAGAGGTGGGGGTGTCCCGGGGCGGGAGGGGCGTGTTGTGCAGTGTCCTGGTCCCTCATTTCTTGTCCATCCCTAGGGATGAAACTGGCATCTCTCAGAACCCTCCCTCAGCCTCTATTCTCACCACCCCCCAACCCAGGCTCCCAGACCTGACCACAGTCATCTCAGTGGATGCCTCTCTGCCGGGGACCCTGCTCCTGGAAGATGTGGTAGCAGCTGGCAGCACAGAGCAGCATCTGGCTCAACTCCAGCACGCCCAGAAGTTCTTGTCCTGTCATGACCCCATCAACATCCAGTTTACCTCGGTAGGTCAGAGGACTCAGGCCTGAGCCCAAGCAGGCATGCTGACCCTTGGCCCCGTGACCCCTCCCCGAGAGTGGGGGGCGGGGCAGTGGAGGAGGTCAGGAGTACAGACTCTTGCCCATGGGCTGGCCCTCTGCCCTGGAAAACATCAGCACTGGGTGTCCTTGCCTCCTTCCCCTGGACCTTTCATCCCCAGCATCTGGCTGGGTGGGGTTGGGGGTGGATGCAAAGGTAAGTTAGAGCTGGTCTAGCCTGCCCCTCCTTTGGCAGATGGGGAACTGACATGGAGAGGGACTCTGCTGGTGGGCCACAGAGCTCTCTGAGTCACCTATGGGTGGCATGAAGACAGAGGCCTTATCTCCCACATTTCTGGACCCTAACAGCTGGCACCAGGCGGGCACACCTGAGACCTGTGTGCACCTGCATGAATGAATGAATGAATGAATGAATGAATGAATGGGTCAGGGGCCACTGGAGAAAGAAGATCAATATGTCACTTTCTTCTCTTGTCAGGGGACAACAGGCAGCCCCAAGGGTGCCACCCTCTCCCACTACAATATTGTCAATAATGCCCACCTGATTGGGGAGCGGATGAAACTGCACCTGAAGGTGAGGGGGTGCAGGCCAAAGCTGATGGGCACCTTCAGGGGTGAGGACTGGAAGAACTGGCTTCCGGGGCTTCTGGCTGCAGCGTAGACTCAGCCTCCTGCCTTCATCCCCAGCCGCCAGAGGAGCTGAGGGCCGTCCTGCCCAGCCCCCTGTACCACTGCCTGGGTTCTGTGGGCGGCACAATGGTGAGCGTGAATTATGGCCTCACCCTCATCTTGTCTTCTCCGGCCTTTGACGGCAAGAAGGCATTGGAGGCCATCAGCAAAGAGAGGTGGGCATCAGTGGGCAGCTACCCACAGGCTTAGGGGAACCTCCTGTTCTCATTCCTGGGCCCCATCCTTTTCCAAAATGTCTCCTCCCTCCCTACTCTTTGTCTGCTCCCCAAGGCTGAGCCTTGTCTTTTCTGCAGATTCAGGGTGGTGGGTGAGAAGTAGGAGTGCCCTTCTCCCTCCAAGAGTGATTTTGAAATGCCTTCCCTCCTTTCCCTGGCCCCGTGCAGAAGCTCCTACATCTACGGCACCCCCACCATGTTCGTGGACATTCTGAACCAGCCAGACTTCTCCAGTTATGACGTCTCAACCATGTGTGGAGGTGGGATGGGGCCAAGGGTGGCCAGGGCAGGACTGGCCAGAGGGAGCTGATTTGGACCTCTTATTTGAGGGGCAAGGGGCTCACTGTAGAAAGGTAGAGGGCCCGTGGGGAGGCAAATTCCCAATGTTCCCAGTTGAAGGTCTGCTGCCCAGATCCAGGGTCAGGGAGAGAAGGGGATTTCCTGTACCCAGAGAAGGGGGGAGCTGTGTCAGCCTGCTCTCTGATTCAGGAGTGATTGGTGGGTCCCCGGCACCCCCAGAACTGATCCGAGCCATGACCAACAAGTTGAACATGAAGGAGCTGGTGGTGAGTGGCACCCATGACCGGGGCTGTGGGCCAGGGTGGGGTGCAGACAGGCCAGGCTTGGGTGAGGGCAGACTGACAAGAGGCCACGCTGTCACGTGGAAAGCGCCCCCCCCCTTCCAGTAAGCAGACGTGAGCAAATACAGTCTGACCTCAGCAGCCAGAGAATCATGGAGGTGGGGCAGGGGGTAAATATACATACACACATTTATATTTATAGAAATCTGAGGAAGAAACGCAGCACAGGATATGGAGCAAAGCACCGGTGTCCTGCTAGCGTGTCCTGGCAGGCGGGCTGGCAGAGTTAGGCTCCGGACCCTTTCTGGAAGCAAGGATTGGGGCAAGGGGTTGATGTTTATTTCCAAATGGCAGGGCAAGGGGAGCAGAGGGGGAGAATTCTGGAAGGCGGCCATCCTGATGACTGCCCTGTTCTGGTTCTGAAGGCCTTGGGGGGGGGGTCTCTGCACCGCTTCTCTGGGAAAAGCCCAGGGGTGGGGGCAGGTGTGATGGTGCTCTCGCTGCTGGGTGGAGCGGGGCTTCTGCTGGAGCACCGAGCTCCCGCCAGGACATGTCTAGGTGTGGACAGCTCTGTGCATCAGCAGAGGCTGTGAGGAGAAGGCCGGGTCAGAGTGGGAAGGTCAGTAGTCTCTCCGGCAGAAGGCAGAGGCCAGTCACCAGGACCAGCTGGGTCGGGACCTGTGGAGAAGCAAAGAACCGTGTCAGGACCTGATGCTTGGAGGGGAAGCTGGGAGTCCTGGGCACATCACCCTTGGAGAGGAGTCCCAGACCTCCCCTCTCAAAACGGGGGGTCTTCCAACCTCTCCCATTGGGACACCCCTCCTCGTGTGCCAGAATCTCCAAGAGGGCATGGGGTACCTGCCCGCCCAGCCCCCACCTGTTTAATGGCGGCCGGCTTTCTTGGACCTCTTAGTGGGGGACTTGCAGCTTCGGAAGGCGTCCGTGTCACGGATGTGCTGGCCCTTGAACTTGGCGGGTGAGGCACAAGTGGCATCGGGGCGGGAAGTCTTGGCTTCCAGCCACCTGGAGAGAGAGAGAGTTGCTGGGGTCAGGAAGGGATGTGGGAATGCTGGGGAAGGGACAATGAGCCAGGATTGGCTCGGCTTCAGGATAATGGGGACCCCCACCCCAAGCAGGGAAGCTATTTGGGAACACATCTGGCACGTATGCCTGCAGATCTTAGTGCAGGGCCTGCTGTGTCTCCGCTCCATCACATAAGGGGGGCTGGGGCACACACAGGGGTGTCCTCACCTCCTAAGGCCTCGGAGCTGGCAAGTACACTTCCAGGGGTTGTTGGTGAGGGTGAGGGTCTCCAGGCTGTCGAAGGGGAAGTTGGAAGGCAGCTGGTTCAGGTGGTTGTTCTCCAGATGGACGTGTTTCAGTGTGGTCACACCCACGAAGGCACCGTCTGAAAACTGGGGGTGAGGTGGTCATGAGTGCTGCCCCCAGTCCCAGGGGGCAGCCTCTCCCAGCTCGATGGCCCGTGGCCCATGCAGGGTCCTTCCCTGGACACAAGCAGTGGCACCTCAGGGAGCCTGACGCGGGACTGATTGTCTCAGGTGAATAGCCAAGCCACCACCTTTTGAGATGCCCGCGGCGTTACCTTCAGAGTGTGGGTGAGGGAATAAAAACGACGCCCCTCGCGCCGGGTCATATTTGCAAGGCTGCAGTGCCATACCTGGCTCCTCCCTGCACAAACACTGGGCTGGAGGAGGAGGCAGCCTGAGCCTGGGCCCACGGCCCACGGCTGGCACACAGCGAAGTCAGCCAGTGTTTGGTGGGGTGGGCCGTGGGCCCAGGCTCCCCACACCCCCAGGGTCCTGGGGTTTCCCCAGTTCTGTCCTCACTGCTCCCTCACTGCTGCCAAACGCTATTTGTGGAGCCCCTTGGTGGAGCCTGTAGCCAGACTGGATGCCGCCAGAGGAAACGTTCTGTTGATGCCCACATCTTGGCCCAGGCGTGACAGTTCCTGCCTCATTTCCCTGCCGCCGATCAGCCCCTGATGCCCTGTTCTGCTGCCCAGTGAAAGGCTGCAGGGTCTCTGACTTCAGCTGGGGAGAGGCTGGGGCTGGAGAAGGGCAGGTGGCCAGGCTCCCTCTGCCCAGATAAAGGCTGGCTGCTGGCTGCTGATCCTGCCCCATCTTCAGGCCTGTGACCAGGGAGAATGTGAAGGTCTCCGGGAATCAGACCGTGCAGATGGCCGTTCTGCCCAAACTGCCCGGCCGAAGCCCCTGTACCAGGAGGGATTCCAGGCCAGGGAGGGATTCTGTCCTCAGCCGAGGCAGCTCCAACAGGCCAGGCTGGGTATTGTGCGGGGGGCAGGACTGAGCGAGGCTGCAGCCGGGAGTGGCTATGGCGTGCAAAGGCAGCTAGCCGTGTGGGCACAGAGGTGCAGCCTCCCCGTGGGGAGACACCGGGTCCTGTGCTGCAGGCTGGCAGTGGTGCATGGCACTTGCCCTCTCCCTTTCAGGGAGCCCGCGGTGCCTTGCCTGTGGCCGGGAGCCCCGGGTTCCTGGCCCACAGTTGAAATGGACCTGAGAGTGGAATATGTGTGGACGGGGGTGTGGGGGCATCTGCCAGGGCCTCTGGGGGGCATGGAGGAGGTCTTCCCCAGGTACCGCTCCCCCCTCGTTCCCCAGCTCCCCATCAGAAACAGGGTCTCTTTGTGGGCCTGATTCACCCAGCTCCTCTAGAAGGCTCCTCAATAAACAAACCTTCCTTTATGGGGTGGTAGGTTTACTGGAGACAGGAAAAAACAGCAGAGGAGGGGCAGAAGGCCCAACAGGAAGAGGTGGCTGCTGCCCACAGCGGGGGCGCGGTGGGGTGGGCGCGCTAGAGATGCCTCTTAGGGGCCAGGCCATCTGTGGGACCAGGGCAACCTCAGCCCTGTTTTTAAGTAGGAATCCTAGGCTGTAGTGGCTGAGACTGGGGACAGGGGCAGCAGGGCAGGGGTGAGGGGTGAGGGCAGGGGTGGGGGGTAAGAGGATAAGGGACAATGCAATGCAATGCCCTCTCTTTGGAGATAGCCAGAGGAAAAGCAGTTTTAGGGGTGAGGGGATAGTGCCCAGTTGTGGCCCTGCACCCTGAGGCCTCCAGACAGAGAAGGAGCCAGGGCGCAAGTCTGTAGCTGGGAGCTCACCTTCTCCAGGTTGGTGTTGTCCAGCCAGAGGGTCTCCAGGTATCTGCCAAAAGACTGGAAGGCATTGTCTGGAATGCTTTTCAGGGGGTTGTGGGACAGCTTCAGCTCCTCCACCACACGCAGCTTGCTCAGAGCAGCCAGGGGATAGCTGGACAGCTGGTTCCTGTCCAGGTGGAACTTGGCGAGGTTCTCCACGTCGTCCAGAGCACCGGGCTGCAGGGAGCTGAGCGCGTTTTCGGACAGGTAGAGCCAGCGCAGGTCCTTGGCACCCTGGAAGGCTCCTGCACGCAGCTCCCGGATCTTGTTATTGTTGAGCTGCAGGATGAAGAGGTTGACCAGCGGGGAGAGCAGCCCCCTGGGCAGCTCAGTCACCTTGTTGTGGTCCAGGTAGAGGTAGGTGAGCTCACTCAGGTCGTCGAAGGCGCCTGCGCGCAGCACGCGGATGTCATTGTGGGACAGGTACAGGTAAATGAGCTGCTTGAGGCCGCGGAAGGCCCCTGCGGCCACCTCGCGGATCTGGCAGTGCTGCAGATGCAGCGACACGAGGTTCGGCACGGTGCGGAACGAGTTGGTGGCCAGCACTGGGAAGTTGTTGCGCTGTAGGTTGAGCAGCTTGGTCTTCTCCGACACCTTGGGGATCTTCTGCAGCCCCACCTTGTCGCAGATGACGTGCTGCAAGTCGCCGTGGCAGTGGCAGTTCTGGGGACAGGCGGTCAGCACCGGTAAGAGGCCGGCCAGGAGGCCGAGACTGAGCAG